TGGCAAGGAGTTCCACAGGTTGACTACACGCTGTGTGAAGAACTTTCTTTTATTAGTTTAAAACCTGCTCCCCATTAATTTCATTTGGTGTCCTCTTGTTCTTCTATTTAGGGAACTAATAAATAACTTTTCTTTATCGGCCCTCTCCACACCACTCATGATTTTATAGACCTCTATCATATCTCCTCTTTTCTAAACTGAAAAGTCCTAGTCTCTTTAACCTCTCCTCATATGGGACCCGTTCCAAACCCCTAATCATTTTAGATTCCCTTTTCTGAACCCTTTCCAAGGCCAAAATATCTTTTTTGAGGTGAGGAGACCACATCTGTACATAGTTTTGCATGCACGCACGCCGTGCCAGCCAATCCGCGCATGGCCAGCCCGCCCTGCCCGACCCCCTCTCCCGGCAACGTGCGTCAATCCCCCCTTAAGCCCCCTCTACTGGGGGGGCGCTGTGGGAGGGTCGGGCGGGCAGAGCCTATAGCGGCGAGTCCCTGCGGGGAAATCTCTGCCTGAGCCGGGGAAGCCCCTCCGAGCTAAGCTGGACCCAGCCAGAGCTGTGCATCTCTGTGTGGTGCAGCCGGGTGCTGCGTGTGCGGCTCTGGGAAGACGCGCGGGGCCAAGGCAGCGCTGAGTGCCCAGCCCGCTCCTGGTCTGGCTCGGGCTGTCCCACGCCGGCTCCCGGCCTCGCCTTGGTGCGGGAAAAGCTGGCCCATGAAACCTGCGTCCCGCGGAGCAGGTGTTGCACCATGCGCCCGGGCAGACAGTGCGGGGGCTGCAGAGGGGAGCGGGATGGGGCCGCCCTCACCTGAAGCTGTCCATGCAACACCCGGGGGCCCCGCTAATCCGAATTGCTGCAAGCCCGGCTGCTCGCTCTGCCTTGGGCAGCCACAGGCAGGTTGGGCGGTAAGGCTGGCCGGAATGCCGCCCCTGGAAATGTGCCGCCCCAAGCACGTGCTTGGTTTGCTGGTCCTAGAGCCGGCCGTGACTATTCATATGCACGATCCATATTTGCATTTGAAAAAAACTTAAACAAATAGTCCTGCTGCACCTTAGAGACTGTCTAACAAAACATGGAGATGGTACCATGAGCTTCCGTGGGCACAGCCCACTTCTTCAGATGAATGGAGCTTAAATAACAGAGAAAGAGAGGGGATGGGGAGGGAAAGGAAAAGAAGGGAAAAATGGGAAAAGAATAGTTAATAATCTGAAACAAATTCTTTCCAGCAGCCACACAGCACACCTCCATCATACTCGTCCAGGAACCCACCCCTGCATCAACTCCAGTGCCAGCTCTAGCCACACAAGTATACAAGTGACATCATCACAGGACCGAACCACATAAACCACCACATCAGAGGCTCATTTAACTGCACACCCACCAATGTGATATATTCCATCAAGTGCCAGCAATGCCCCTCTGCCATGTATATTGGACAAAGGATTAATGGGCACAAATCAGATATTTAAAAAAGTAACACACAGAAACCCGCTGGAATATTTTAACTTGCCTGGGCATTCATGAATGGATCTCAAAGTTTCCATATTATTACAAGCCAATTTAAAAAAACAGCTTGAAAGGGAAGCTGCAGAGCTTAATTTCATTTATAACTTTGATACCTACAATTGAGATTTAAACAAGACCTTAACTGGATTACGTGCTACATTCCGCATCCTAATGACATAAAAGGCCAAACACCAGGTACTTAAGAGTACTTAGAACCCTTGCTATCAGCTTCATGTAGCATGGAAA